TTGTCTTTACCAATTGTGAAATTATCCCGTTTTGGCCAATCTTTTCGGACGTAGTGTTCCTTACGAGCTCGACTGTCCCATTTACACAAAAAACACATATATTTTGTGTATCCCTGTTGCAATCCAGTCAACATGGCAACCACTTTAAGATCGGAACAAATTTTCCAATTGTGTTGATTGTAATTTATCAAATTGAGCAATAGAGCCATTGATTCATACGTTTCCTTCATATTAACGGCATGAGCTAATGGAATAGAAGGTTTCTCATTCCCTTGATGCAGTAAAACGGCTTTCAAGCTCAACTTGCTGCTATCGATGAATAAACGCCATTTAGCTGGATCATATGGCTCACCAAACTCTTCAAACAAGCCGTTTCAATTTCCATGATTTTACAAAAAATTTCTTAACTTCGACAATTTCCAACCGATTTCATCCATTAAAGGCTCATTTTCTCCAGTTTTTAATGGACTTTAAGAATAAATTATGGAATGATTTTTTGAATCTTTTTATCCCATTAAAAATGTTGATTAAAACAAGATTTTTATGGAAAATTCACAGGAAAAATAAAAAAAAAAAATGCTGTAAATTTTTAAATGACTTCAAAATTAAATTTTTAATTAAGACATAATATTCTAGTGAACGATGGCACATTTATTAAGCTTCACTTTCATAAAAAAAAGATTTAAAATTGGTGTACTAGTTCCAAAGATATTGACATTTTAGTAATCGTACTTTTGTCCAAAATTCAAAAAATCTAATTTTTTGTATATCTCAAAAATGGCTCTACTTTAATTTTTTCTGACCACGGCATTGAATTCAGCGTAGGATTTTGCATTAGAAACGTTGGTCAACCACTAAAGTTCACACTTTTTATGTTGTTTTGTAAACTAGTGTAATGTGAGTGCACATAGAAAGCCCGTGTGGAACGCTACCACAACACATCGCTTGTTGTGCAGAAAAACGAACCACTTTTTGATTCACCGATTTGTTTGCACTTCCCCTTCTGTTCTGTGGTATTCTCTTAGTTAAATTAACCAAGTCTCGATATTTTCCCTAGACAGTGTTGTAAAGTGTGTATTGGCTAGCAAAAACAAGATTTTGAAATCTAAAATATTTTTGTAATGGAGCACTTTGTCAACAGTCTAGAGCGGATATATTCGGATGTGTGCGGACCAATTGATCCACCGGCTTGGGATGGATCGAGATATTTCGTCTCCTTTATAGATGACTACAGCCATTTTACGTGCATCTACCTGATGAAGAGAAAGTCCGGAGTCTTCGTACATTTTCAAGAGTATGAAGCCATGGTAACCACCAGTTTGAAAAACGAATTTGCAAGCTAACTGTCCACCAGGGACGTGAGTATTCCTCGGGAAAGCAGAAAGCGTACTACAAACGAAAGGGAATTCAAATTCAGCCAACCTGCATACTCGCCTCAACAAAACGGTTGAACGGTTCAACCGAACCCTAGTAGAAAAGGTGAGAACCATGCTTATCGACTCAAATATGCCAAAGTTCATGTGGTCGGAGGTTAATCGTACACCTGCTGAGCACTGGACAGGTGCGAAATCTGATCCCTCCAAGCTGCGTAAAGCGTAAAGTTGTAAGGTTCCAAGCCAGCTGAGGAAGAAGTTGGACAACAAGAGTCGGGAGGCGGTCATGATTGGCTATGCTTCAAATGGCTACCGCTTATGGCACAGAAAAGCAAGAAAAGTATTCATCTCTCGTGACATCAAGTTCGATGACGCTTCTTTACCATACGCAAATGAAGAAGATGAAGGCTCGAAGGTTCCCTTAGTGATTCCCATGCTGTATCCGCCAGAGGGGGACAATTCGTCGGCCGAACAACAAGCTGTAGCTGTTATCGAAAGCGAAACCGAAGATGAAGTGGATCCGGATACGCAAAGCACCGTTGATCTGGATGAAGAACCAACCGAAGAAGCTCCATCCGGCGATGTTTGAAATGACCGATTGTGGAGAGTACTTTCTTGGGATGAAGATACGGTACGATCAACAAAATGGTGAATGATGCTGTCTCAAGAAACCAGCCTGGAAAAGATCTTGCAGAAGTTCGGCATGGCGGAGTGCAATGCAACAAGGACGCCAATGGAGAAAGGATTGAAATTGGATCGTCAAGTGGCCGAAGGTGTTCAAGAACCGTACCGTGAATTATTGGGAAGCCTGATGTACGTGATGATGTCCACAAGGCCGGACATTTGCTTTCCTATCGGATATCTAACTCAACCTGGACAACAACATTGGACAGCTCTGAAACGGGTTGTACGATACTTAAAAGGATCGATGTAGTGTTGCTTGACGTTTACTCGAGACAATCAAGCGGCGCCACTCATCGGGTTTGCTGATTCAGACTGGGCCACCGATACTGACGACCGGAAATCAGTAAGCGGGTATGTTTTCCGTGTTTTCGGATGTACTGTTGCGTGGTCAAGCAAGAATCAACAACAGTTGCAACTTCTTCAAGCGAAGCTGAATATGTAGCGTTGAGTGCTGCAGCATAGGAAGCAATATGGCTAGTCGGTGTTCTAGGCGATCTCGATGAGCTGAACATTGAACCAATCACCATATACGAGGAAAACCGTGGATGCATTGGTATGACCAAGAACTTGGAGAGTAAGAGAGCCAAACACATCGACATCAAACACCATTTTCTTCGTGATCATGTCGCTGCTGGTAAGCTATTGGTGGAACCGATTGCCAGCAACAACCAGTTGGCTGACTACTTCACTAAATCGTTGGACGTCGGACGATGCTGGGACTATCCAAGCGAGAGGGGGTGAAATCAAAGTAGTCGTTGGATTACCTGACCTGGTCCTGTTATTTTTCGATGTCATTCCAATTCAAGAGCTCGATGTGAGCAATTCAAATTTGCTTTGCTGTTTATTATTGCTCCGTCTTGTCCACGTAGCTCCTTCAGTTTTGACTGCTCGAATTAACTGGTTAATTATCGAATGCTTCTTCTTCTTCTTCTCATTTCAAGCTTATTGCTTATTGCATGCTCTCAACTTAGTGTTCTATGTAGATGCACTCCCACAGTTATAAGGGGTAAATACCTGTGTTCCATCCCAGGAGATCGGACAACCAAGGAGTGTACATTAACTTTCTTAGCTCTGTCACTCCCAACGATTTATATAGCCTATTTTCAAATCCAGCATACGGAGCGGTTGGTACGGTATGTCCCCGCTCTTTGATTACCTGTGGATTAAATGTTAACCACTGTCTATACTTATTAAGTAGACATGGTAAACCTTCACTTCCACAAAAATTAACTAAACGCTACACAGTAGGCCTGGCCGCTTTATTGTTTGTTTCACATCCTTGATGTGCAGCAGGCATTAATAATGACAAGAAAAATGATAGATGTATCATTTTCCAGGATTCTTTCAAGTACTGGCTGTGTATGTGTAGACTAGACTAGACTAGACTATGTAGATGCACTCCCACAGTTATTAATTGATATTTTCCAACCTTAAAAAAAATCCTTGCCGAACCCGGCCACCACCACCGGAGTCGAACCCGGCCACCTCCAGCATGGTATTACTTTGTAGCTGCACCTTTATCGACTGAGCTAAGGGAGGCCCCAACACCGAATGCACTAAATGTATTTTTGGATTGAAAATATTTTTTTTTTCAATTGTCCGTAGATTTATCTACGGTCCGGCATAAAACGATTACACAGATGAGAAGTAGGTACCGTTGTTTGTGGATGGAGTTTTAGCAGTAATTTTTGTTTTCCCAATGCTAGCTGCCTGATCTTTGATAGTAAGAATACTGAACACAAATGGTATCTTTATTACTAAAAACCAGGTATCAAGGATTCCAGGAAAAAGAATACCGGCTAAAATTTCATTTGCAAATAACGGTACCTCTCTGTGCAGTTGAGTTGAGGTAGCCATTTTCGTCATTCACCTCGGAAATTTGCATTCATCTGTGTTCAATGAAAATCTAGTTGATATATTAGTAGGCCTAATCAACAGTTCTCGTCGAAAATAGCTTTCACAAACCGGCGTCGTCGAGGGATGTCTTGCTGCTGTCGTTGTGGTTCGTATCCATACCCTCGAAACCCACTTAGCCCATCGTAGACATAATGTATTATAGTCGTGCGACCGCACGATAAGACACCGAGTAAAATGAAGAGCACCATAGAAAGCCGAAAAGTTTAGATTCGTTCACGCAGTCACAATTAGCAAATTTCCACTGCAAATGAACTGGTGGTTCATACCGTGTGTGCGCAGCAAAGCATATCAATCACAACAAACGCAAGGTTCGCTGATATCTCGCTTAGTCATTCGTCAAACGAGAGGAAAAGCTAAAAAGAAAAACTCATACGAACGAAGGAACGAACGATTCACGAAGAAAGAGCAGCACTTTCGCTCTTTACTGCTGACTGTGCTGTGCAGAGGCCAATATCATCATCGGGTGGGAAAACAATGATGACTAAATTACTTTTGCATGTTTAAGCTACATTATGACGGCGGCGGTGGGTATTCGGAAATAGTAGAATGGTTTGGGCTGATTTCAAATATGTTAGCAGCAGAGGGCGGTTTGGAGGAATAAACAATTCCCTTGTCTCATTCGAAGGGAGAATCTTGCTTCTCGTCCTATCGGGTAACTGTTAAGGAAAATGGGTCATGATAAGTAGGGAGCTAGAAATGCGGCAGGTCAAGGATGAGATATTCAGATTATCGTTGGAAAATTAGGGAAGACTACTATTTCGAGAACACGATCTTAATCGTACCCTAGCATGAATAATAACTCACTGTCTGCAAATATTTGCTTCAGTTTCGGAGTCGTGCGGTTATTAGATAACGACATCGTACGTTCAACATTTCCACTTGCTGGTCTGAACACGTGAAGCCGTGTTTTGGGTCACGTTCACCACAGTACTAAACTGTGACAATAATATTATCATTTAGCATCAACGTGTTGCGCAAATAATAATTCTTATTTTTATCATCTTTGCTCGGGAAACCAAATTCCAGGTCATCTCCTTCCACTTCGTCTCCGAGTAGATCGAACAGTAACACCCGGAACAGCAGCAAAATGAGTGATCGTAAGGCAGTGATCAAGAATGCCGATATGGGCGAGGAGATGCAGCAGGACGCCGTGGACTGTGCGACACAAGCCCTGGAAAAGTACAATATCGAAAAGGTGAGTGACTATTTTTTTCTTGAACCTAATTTCAGCAGTGTTTTAAAGTATTTTACCACTTAAACTAAATCGGTTCAGAATTTAGAAACTCATCAGGAGCACACAAAAAACAACTACTTTGAGTTTCTTTCGTGTTCTGTAACGTGTGTAAAGAATATCTTGCCCTTATGAAGGATGGGTATAACAGTTTTAACACCACCGGATTTTTCTTTGATTTATTTTTTTAAACAAGTTGCATTAAATTTGGTTGCAATTTGAGATTACACGAACAAAAATAGAGGCGAAATAATAAAAAATCGCGTAAAAACTCAAACATTTTCAAACCTTTGAATTTACTCATACATATAAAAACTAACAATCTGCTGCAGAGGATTCTGGCTATGTGTGTGTATGTGTGTATTCAATCTAACCCCCACTGGCCGGCAGTGGTATTATGGAAGAAATTTGCTTACAACAATCCTTGATGTAATAATTTAAAGCAAGTTTAGTCCGGGAGTTAGTTACTGCAGATTCAGCAACCCATTTCAGAATGCCTGGTAATTCACGTCCATTCCGAGGTTACTTTCACATACAATAAGCCCCGCATGTAAACACTACCGTTATCATATGACTAATGGTACTGCAAACACACTTCCAGATTTCGAAATGTGATGTTTCGAAATCTGGCGCGTATTTAGTAATATATGGAAATATGCATTTATGATTGATTATAAATCAGATGGATCTCACCAAATTCTGCCTCCGAAAAAGTACCGGTTTGTTCACTCGCGGTAATCGAAAAAATCTTCCGCGTTGTTTTTACAACCCAACACGACATTTTGAATCACATTCGAAGTTTTTAATTTGCACCGAATTTTTGTTTGAAACCTCATTCGCGTGCATCCTCCGGAAGGCAATACGCCAGCACCAAGAAAAGAAAAAAAAATACCCGGTAAAACTCTTCTTGGGAGGGAGGCAAACCACCATAAACAAGCGAAATGAAAAACCGACCGACGAGACACCACAGCAACACAGCTACTCGAAACAAATTCTTGTCCCAGATGAAAAATTGTAATCGTTAATTACAATATCACTAAAAAAAACTTCTTAAGACGTGATAGATCTTTATTTACACTTATCCACTCTCGAAAACTAATATTTGTTTTATTTGGTACAATTAAAAAATATGCGAAAAACAGATGAAATCAGCGCCAGCGAAAACAAAACCAACCGTTCGCGGGCAGAGCCTACTGCGTTTTTTTTTTTTTTATCTGCTGCAGAGGATTCTGGCTAGTATAAAAAATCACAAATCTCCCGGATAACATTCAAACCCGGAAACACTTTAATAAAGACACACTCGTACTTAAACCATTCGGCGGTATACGAAACAAACAAAAAATGGATGGCAAGAGTACGTGCGTGCTGAAATATTTCCTCCAATTTGCAACCTCGATCCCACTTGAGGGCGTCACTCATGTAAATCTTCCATTCCATTGAAAGCTATATAACAGAGAGAAAATCTTGAACGGATTTTCTTCACTTGCTCGTCGACGTCTAGGGAAAACAGCATTAGGAAGTTTCCCCCTTTTTACCACAGCTCATCTTACCTCGTCATCGCCCAGAGATCCCTTTCGCCAATTTTCGCTTTTCCAATTGAAACCTATAAATTTATGGGCACAACTCGTTCACATTATATCAACCTTCTTCGCTCTCGCTCATCCAGAGGCCGGGGGAAAAGTCGCGACCGGGTTGCTTCAGAGCTAGCTATTAAGCTGGCACCATTTTATGGAAGCGACCTCACCCTCCCAACATCTCTCCTATCGGTGTTTATTTCTGTGTCTGGTTGTGCAATCTTCTCCTGAGAACCGACCCGTTTCCCCGGGGCCAAATGAGGAAAAGCTACCATTATGTGTGTACCTTCCCCTTGCAGCGCACTGTACAACTGTGCGGAACCGACCTGCTGGAGTGAGAGAGGTATCCATAAGGTGGATACGGATGCGAAAACGAAGGCGGTAGGTCAATTTGTGAACTTGAGATCTCAACTGAGAAGTTGTGGTAATTGATTTAGGCTTAATGCTGCGAACCTGAAAAGAGTTACCCAAAGAAAGATTATTTTTGGTGGGTGAAATTATTATCAACACGTCTTTGAGGTCGGGTGGAATTGTATTGAGCTTTACGTGGAATTTCCTAGAATTACTGAGGTGAATTAGGTTATTAAATTTGAAAAAGTAAGATTGAGGAATCAGCGTGCTTAGATTGTCTACTTTTCACGATTTACGTTTCTATTTGCATTTGCGTAGAACAGCATATTTACAATTTATTTGATAGATTTTCTGGCCTTCCCTTACATTACAATTGACGCAATATGCCGTAGTTATCAGAAGTTGTCAAACTCGGTTTTTCTATTGCTTAAAATAAAATTCAATATCTCTTTTAGCAAAATCGAAATATTCCCTAGAAATCCGTCCCAGCGACTTGCCACTAAGCCACTGCCAAACTAACATTTTTTTCTTCTAAAAAAACGATACATTTTTATAGACTTTGTATAGCCTTATTCCGCTACTGATATTAAATTGCAGTTGCAGTATCGATTTTTGTTCAATTCCCTGTGTTTCTAGTTCTCCTTACACACAAAAGCAATATACAATCAACAAATCCAAACAACACATCCGCGAAACGAATGTCAATCCATCGAGAGTGCTTCTGTGCGAATAAAACAAAAAAAAAAACATTTCGCAACTTTCAGAGTACACTGGAGTCGCTTTTTACGCGGTTTTTTTTACATGTTTTTTTTTTACGCGGTTAGTGCCGCTGAGTCGCAATTTACGCGGTACGTTTTTAACGATTTCTCGACAACGATACGACCTATCGACTTGATTCCAATCACATTATCCGTTTCAAACTATAGGCAATCGAATAGCATACTTTTAAAAAATCACAATTTTTGGTGTAAATACAGAAATTTTTAAAATATGTCTATATGGACCATAGCATGCTATAATAACGAATGGCATCAAAATCCGATTTATAAAAAATATTTAAGCATGTGAAAAATCAAAATCTTAGTAGTTTTTTTTACGTGGTTGTTTTTACGAGGCACATATCCCCCGCGTAAAAAGCGACTCCAGTGTATTGCATTTCTTCACACCCTTTCGCTTGCGTTCTCTGTTTTCAAACGATCGAAAGTGTACGGGTGTCTGTTTTCCACCGCCGCCGTATTCACACGCTCATGACGTTCTGTTCCCGTTTTCATCCCCTTGGCTGGCAACACGACTGACGATGAAATGAAAGTTCTAAAAATAATTTAAATTTATTACAAGCGCATCCCTCTCGACATTCAATGTACCTACGTATGGGAGGCTTTGAACGAGAGTTGAAAGGCGACCTTGTGTACGTGAACCAATTTTAATGAACCAACAAAGCACTCGATCTCCTGGTTGACCACCGCCGTCACAACTGTAAGACTATTGAGTATTCACTGTGGTCGTAGACTCATCCATATTCTGTCTTTTAACGAAGGAATGGTTATTTTGCCACTTATGTCAAATTAAAAAAAGAAAAGAAGGGTATCAGCATTAAGCCAGGTAACTATAGTGTGTCATTTGACATAATTGCTTGCTTCAACTAGACTAGATAGGCGGTTGCTGTCTTCAGCTTAGTTGTCCAAATGGACAAGACCCAACGAGTGGTGGTCAGTTCAGTTGGGTAATTTCCCCATTAAGTGGCGCTAGAATGCCATTTGAGTTATAATTTTTTGCTCTAACTACTTACTACTTGATATATCGTCTAAGGTTGCAGTCTTCGACAAAGTTTTTCAGATACATTGGACCTATTGGACTGTCTATCAGTTCAGAATTCCGTCACCAGACTGTGCTAGTGTGCTATTTCACACATACTGCTTGCTTTATCTAGACAGTACGATTAGATAGAAGATTCACCTCATATTGGCGACTTCACACCAATGAATTCATATAAGGTATGTGCCAACAGGCAGCCTGCTGGTGTTAGAAGCAAGACTATTGTAAACATTGCTGAGCACTCAAATGGTGACGTCACTCTACCAACATTCCCTGCTGTCAACAGTGAGATTGACGTCAATACCAACAGCTGTTTCGTGTAAAAAGATAAACATTGCAATGAAATACGAACCCCACTAAACATTTGCTCATTTCACTAACACAATTAAGCCTGTTGACCTGGACCTTATATAAATGAAATTGACTTCACACGACGCGAAGTTCGTCCGTCAATTCACTTTGACGGCTTGAATGGAGCGAAAGAGAAAGGAACAGTCCACGTATTTTCGTGCCCGACAGGAGTCTAATCAGGTGTGAAATCCGCAATGTTTTAAAGGAATAAATAGTTTCAATTCCAATTGCCTAGATGTGCCTAACGTTCAGCAACAGTTACCTTACATAATTTAAGAGACACTGAATTTTACACGCTAACGCTGTCTTTTGAACAGTTAACTAATGGATTATTTTATGAATTGACAAAATACGCATCTTGCGAAGTTATCTATAACGGATTAGTTTGTATGGATAGCGGTCATAACAACTTTTTAATTATTGTTGTAGCACTGCAAAAACTGACTGTTCATTAACTACGTACAGTTTTTTTTTTAAATTCTTGCCCCCCCCCCCCCTTCCCATGCGTAGACAATTGCAGGGTGGCCAGCGTACCGAAAAACCGGGAAAAAGTCAATAAACCTTAACATATTCCAACAAAAATTAAAACTTGAATAACAACTTGAGGTTAATCAAGCAAACAAAAGTTTCTTCAGCTCAAAAATGGTTTATTCAGCTCTTAATCATCATAAACCTTTGAAATTATTTGGTCTTTTTGTAAAATTCTCCTCAGAAATCCTTGGAATTATGTGCTGAATTTTCGTGAAACTTTCTTAAGAATTAAATTTAAATTCTTCAGCATTTTTCTTTGTTTACCTCAGAACATAATTCCTTCGGAATTTTTCTACAGTAGTATTCCTTTGAAATTATTATCAAAAAACCCTTTAAATTATG